ACAGGAAACTGCATTACTTCATTCAAGATGAACCCATGTGCAGTGGTTTTAGGAGGCGTCGCATTTTGTTGCGTTAATCCGTCGTAGTTTATATTTTCTCGATTATGACACTCATTTATCCCTTCGGTTATTGTTTTTCTAAATTAGTAAACATTACTGGTTGTGTACTTTAATTTGTTTTTTGGCCAAACAAGTGACTCGAATCAAATAGCAAGGGTAGTGATTGGTTAAATATTTTTAGAATCTTCTGTACTCCAACGGCAATTTCTTGGCCCGTCTCGTGGTTTTTCAATCCAGTTCACTGACTTTACCGGCGCCGTTGTACTGGAGGTGTCTAGAAAGTTTGCTTTCAGTGCGGCCTTCGGTACCTGTTGTCCGTAAGTTCCCACCGTCCATCAAATTCTGCAGGTTCATAATGAAGTTGTGCAAATTTAAAGCACAAATGTAGAGTAAGTAATGTGTCACCGGCATGGGACACAAGATAACATGCCAAGTATGAAAAATCGATGCTGCATGTTCTGTTATTGGCAGGGGGATGGTGAGGGCACATTCTTTTATCAATCGATTGAATTAGGAGGAAATCTCAAGTGGGCAAGGAGCAGAAACATCAGAGCCGACGAACACATGCATGGGACTTCGGGTAGAAACCAATTAATTCACGACCAGTTGATGATATTTACTGATTGTTTAAATGCTTCATGAATATGAATAACTGTAGTGGCTTGTGGCCTAAGCACTACCTTACAATCCTTTAATTAACAGCCCGTAACAACTCGAGAATGGAGAGAAGAGAGGCGACATTGGACACGACCGTTTATTGACGTCACGCCAGCCAAGTGTGGATGAGTGAACGGATGAGAGGCGTCTGATACAGTAGCCAATGAAAAGGGGATGAGTCATTGTCACCGTCAGGCCAGTTACCAGGGTTCACTCAGGCACGATCGTTGTTAATCCGTTGCAGAAGTCAGTTATATCGAGAACACGTGTGCTACAATGTACACAAACATAAGTATCCTTCTGCCACTTAGGTTTGTATATTTAAAAACTCACACACACACACACAACCACCAGCACTACTGTCTCATTGATGTTGTCTTATGGAAATTGTCGTATTTTACACGTTTTGATTTACGTTCAACTTTGTCAGGTATTGTCCGGGGACCATGAATCATGTGGATGTGCACTCGCCTGCGTTTGGTCCGCTTGGCCGGATTCTGCAGCAAAGCGAGGGCTGCCGCACCGCCTTCGTGGGGTGCGACGCATCGGGAACCGTCGTGTTCAAGATTCAAGGTGGCAATATCTGCTGCAATTTCTCTCTATTCGGTGGAAACGTAGTTTACGAGGTAAGTTTGTCACTGCCAATTTGAGAGAAGTGGCTTATCGATCTTAAAAGTATTTTATCCATCGCCACCTACTTATGACCAAACTTTCAGAAAGCCCAATTCAACCCCCATGACTCTCAGTCGAATGAATCGTATGAACTTCTTTTGAGATGTGTAATTATTTGTGTTACTGTTAAACGTAAGCGTGATATTAGACACGGGCGCACGTGGCAAGATGGCGGAGCTTTCCGTTGTAAATATTTTGGTAAAAGCGTAAATAACAAAATCGCTTTTGTTGACAGTGGATCAAGAGGTTTACTTGGCAACTTTCACGGTAGGTCAATGTGACTGTATGAGAAGTCTTTTTAAGAGGGTATCCTGATTAAAAGTTTTGGAAATCCAACGCTATTTCGACGTCTTAAAATATGCACTGTTTATGCCCGATAGGTACATCTGCCATTGTGTCGAAATGACACTCATCTTAGGAAAATAACAAACAGAGTGAATTTGGCTTGGTATGGGGAAAAGGGGGTCCAGATATTACTGGCATTGTCGACACTTCGAATTAGTGGAAATTAAATGCACATTCACCTATGTTAATTGCAACTGATACACTATGAGCTGGTAGCATTACGATGAAATGAGCATTTTTTAGAAGTTGTTAGACTGAAACCGTTTACATCACTAACGCCAAGAAATGAAAGTTGAAGTTTGCTACATCGGACTTCTGTCATGCAAACTGACTCATGCTAGTAATACGTCTAGTGAAAAAGTAACTTAACCCTTTTGGAAATGCCTGTGCTCTTACAATGTCCCTCCAACTTCGTTTAAGGTTCTCTCGGCTGATGGCTCTACTAAAATTGGGGCAATTGAGAAGGTATGGTCCGGCATAGGAGCCGAGTATTTCACAGACGCGGATGTTTACTCCCTGTCGTTTCCTATGGATCTTCACGTCAAGGCAAAGGCACTGCTCATGGCCGCAGCCTTTCTTATTGTAAGTACAAACAATA